CCTTTAAGGATCATGCAGCGCCGCTGGGCCCAGGCTGAGCAGTAGGAGTTTCGTTCACATGGAAATACCTCGGTGGTCACATCAGAGCAAGGAGGAGTGGCGGCTTTCCAGCTGTTACCAAACGCCAGAGGACTGGAGCCCACTGAAAGTAGAGGTTTAGTTTGATTTCAACCATCGTGACTAAAGTGCAACATTAAAGACGAGAGGAACCGGATTCACCCGCTGAGCCGCTTGTCTGCAGGTCGTTCATCTCGTTGGAGTCAAAATTCCCACAGAGGCCACACACTTTGTTCTGCAAGAGGAAGGTTTTAGTCAATATTGTCTCGATGGAATGCCACAAACAATTTCCCCATCCTTTCTTAACGTCCTCATCACTCACCCTCCAGTCGGCATGCAGCTCGACGGTGATCCGGGTGTGTTTGTCCCAAATGAGAGTTAAGCCTCTGCTCGGCACTGAGATGATGATATAGAGTCCCACGGTGTGTGTGGTGTAGAGCGGATCCTCCCGCGGAGTCCAGCCTCTCTGGAGACGCCTGGTCACCCTCATGTCGCTCAGAGTCAGGGTGACTTCGCCCTTCATGGGACAAATTTTCATAAACCAGTTAAGCTGAAGCACACAAGGTCACTTTGAATCAGGAAATGAATAGAGCGGAACATCTGTTTAGCGACTGAAAGAGGATGCAATGGGTGAAAGAATCAGTAATAGAATTAATAAATTGATCATTAAACATGGTGACTCATGCACCTGCAGGTCCAGGACGATGGATCGAGAGCAGGTTAACGCCTCATCACAGCACGGGACACTCTCCACCCTGAGAGAGAAGGAGCCGTCTCCATCTGCACAGTAGTCCTGAAGTGAATAAAGTGGAGTTAGAAAGAAGTAAAACATGTCTACTGATCACAATATACAGGATGTACAATAGTAGGTTTGATAATGTAGGATTATTGTAAGATTTAGTTCAGTTGAGACCAATTTTATGGTAATATTTGGTGGTATGGTTCTGTTCTGGGATGTCCCAGCCTTTCCATGATCCAAAGCCTAAAGCAGGAAGAGCAGCAAGCATCAAGGACAACAGACCTGAGTCAGATAAAGCATGAAAACAAGGAGCTGGGGTGGAAGTGTGGAAGTATGTAGGCTAAAGCAGCATAAATAGATCGCCCTGTACGAGGTATGTCAGTTGTGGAAGGGAATCGGCTGAGACATGAGTTGACGTGGGCTGTCACGGACATCAGCTGCTGAGACTTCAATCCCAGAAATNATGAGTTGACGTGGGCTGTCACGGACATCAGCTGCTGAGACTTCAATCCCAGAAATGACTCAAGATTGTAGGTTGAGCCCGACTTTGTGGCCCGTGTAACCCTCTGAGCCCCAGAAGGTTCTGTTCAGATCAGATTCAGATTCAGATTTGTTTTATTGTCATTGTAACAAGTACAACGAAACGAAGGTGCAGTCCTTTCAGTGCAAAAACATAAGAACTTGTAGAACAATAAAAACTTTGTAAAAACTTTGTAAACACTATATACAATATAAAGGAAATATATATATAAAAACAAGAGCAAAAAGAAATGAACTCTATATACAAGATGAAATTAAATAATGAGCACGGTGTATTAGTTCTGGCATGTTTGTGAGAAAATGTCATCTTTAAAAAAAAATATCGCCAAATGACACCATTCATCGAGGCCAGACAATATTAAACAGAAAAATAATGGGATTTTCAACTTTCTATAGAACCATTTATGTGTGATATGATGTTCTAGTAGGGGGGAACAAAACTAAACTAAACTTACAACTGTGACAGCGACACATTGTTTAAAAATTAGTTAAAATCATAACATTTACACACAACGCATTCAGTCAATAAGAAAAAATTCTGAAGTTATGAATGACTGCTGTGGACAACAGCAAAGATTCAAAAATCCAGGGACGTTGTGGTTGAACTGCAGGTTCAGAGAGGAGACAAGTATTAAAAAATGTAAGTAGTAAGATATCAACAGCATGTGGAGCCATCTTTTTAGTTTTGGTAACAGCTGTGGACAGTTGGAAAAACTGTTGTAAATACTGATTCCATTTTTTTCTCTCCAATTTCTGTAAAGTAACTAATCAAACAAATTCAACTTTCATTTTTTATTTGGTAGGATTTATGCCATTATGGCTGTGGTATACCGCACAGGAGACATTTCTGAGTTCCCTCTACTCCTAGCCATGGCTGTGCTGTTTCAATAGAGGTGCAGGACTTTATATTGCAGTAAAAAACAAAATGAGCTCACAGTGAGTGAAAATGTGACAGGAGCAAAAATCACCCAGAAACTGCTTCAGATGGTTAAACCAATGCTATGCTCAGTAAACAAGGAAAATATAAAACATCNCTGTGGTGTCACTGAATAAAAACTGCTCATCTAAAGTGAGTTAGTTGTTTTAAAAAAAATGAATGAAATCCCACAAACTGTAGCCTAAAAACATAACAATGAGCAGAACTGAGACCCTACATGTGACCACACTCATGTCTTCTGCCTTCTGTCTGTCAGTAGTTTACCTCCACAAGCGTGTACTGACAGTGACCGTCAAAGCGATACCATTTGGAGTCAAAGGTCTGGTAATGTCCGTTTCCGTAAACCTGACACGTCCCGGGACACGGCTCGTCTCTGCAGCGCCACTGACCAGAACCACAGACGCTGTAACACAGAACCGGGTCAGTGAAACAGCTTCTGGACGAGTCAGACGTTCTGAATGAAGCAGCACCAGCGAGTGCGTTACCATGTTTTACAGTTGGTCTTCACGCGCTGGCCGGCGCTGAAGACTTTGCCGCTGTACATACAGGTGCAGTTGTCCCTAGAAACACAGTTTCCATGGTGATCCTGGTACTGGTCATGTGGGCAGTAACAGCCGCTCTCACAGGTCGCATTGGCACCCTGGAAATCACACCAGCAAAACAGAACGAGTGTTTCAGCTGAAGAAAATGTCTGACTCATCACAATTTAAAGGTTAAGTGTTGAGGCTGCAATTCAGGAGCAGAAAGTTTATTTCTAATAAAATCATCATCTGCACAAGAAGTAAATGTTCAAATTCTAAATAACAAAGTAAATATTCTGTATTCTAAAAGCTAATTTAGTTAATACAGAAATTAGTTTTCAATTTTACGACTTGTTTTCGAAGATTTTACTGGTTTAGCTCCACACGTTGGTTCCACTTTGACTTTTAACACACCAAGACTTTTGCATTTCTCAGTTTTCCTCTTTCAATCTTTTACACTCGACTTCTTTTGTCTTTGCTTTTATGTTTTTACCTCTTTTTAACTTCTCCAACATGCTCCACCTTAACTACTGATACTTGCACTCCGTACACTAATACGCCACTATTAAATGGTATTAGCTTGTGTCTATTCTCTCCTGCAGCTTGTGTTTCTGATCTGTAACTACTGTCCTCGCTGTTTCTTGTTCTCTTGTTTTCATGTCTGTCTCTTCTTTAACCTCATCCCAACCAGTGGAGGCAGACGGCTGCCCTCCCTGAGCCTGGCTCTGCTCTTAAAGTCTTTCGTCTCCACTGCTGCTAAGTGCTTGCTCAACGGAAATTGTTGGATTTGTTCATCACTGACGTAAACAATGAAAACTGATGATCATATTACACCCACCTGCGGTTTGCTGAGGCTGTCACAGGTTTTCTGAGCCGTGTCGACTGGATACTCTGAGCAGTGAACGCAAACCTTCCCGTTTGTGCAACCTGACGCAGAACATGTCAGCGTGTTAGAAAGTTTGCAGTTTGATGCTATGTGATGGTAGAAATCAGTGTTGTTTACTACTGTTAACCCTCCGAACACCCAAACTTAGTGGCAGGTTTGAAAGACGTGTTGTCTCTTTAAAAACTGACAGCATGTATCAGAGCTGGAAACTGTAAAAACTGTAAGAATGATTGGATTTTCAATTTTTGTGACGTTGAACTACTTCCACTGCTGTTGGAAACCAAAGCTAATACATGCAACTAAGCTAGTTTATCAAAATGTTACGTCTCTATGTGTTTGATGTACACAGTTTGCTCAGAGCATGATCTGTAAAAAACTAAAAATTTGACACTGCCTGGCACAACTGTAAAGCTGACCAATAGTCATGTGACAAAAAATCACTTTCCCCTGAACTGGGCTGAACTGCAGGCTGTGTAGTTACACAACTGAGAGGAGACAACTATGCAAAAAACAAATTAAACATGCAAGTGGTCGAATATCTGTAGCATTTGGAGCCACCATTTTCTTCTTCAGTATTACTAACACATACGCGTAGTTAAGAAAATGTTGTAAATGTCGATTCCTGTTGTTGTTTTTTCGACTTTGTAAAAGAAAATAATTTAAGAAATTCAACGTTTGTTTTTTTTCTGCACAGAAGACATTTCTGAGTTCTAGTCCTGGTTGCATTCAACCATACATCAGAAGGACTTTATATTGCAATTAAAGATGAATCCACAGTGAGTAAAAAAACATGACAGGAGCAAAAGGAAAAGACCAGAAACTGTTTGAGGTTCAGAGGGTTAAGTCGCTGGCTGACAACCAAGTCAGATTCTGGTTGTATTGTCACATGCGTTGTTACAAGTATGATTTAAATACAATCTTGTCTTGGCCTAAAATGTGTATAAATGACGATAAAAGTTATTTACCACAGTCCTTGGAGCAGTGCAGTTCTCCGTCCTCACAGAGGCTTTAGAAGACACAAAGTTTTCGACATAAAACATACATTTTTTTTTATCACCATACACCATAGATACACAGAACACAATGTCCCCCATAAAGTGCATTTGACCTTTTAAAAGCACCCAATAAACACTTGCGTGATCAGCTCACCACTGCCGTCCGTCCATCACAACGGGCCCCGGCGGCGTCGCACCACCGCGGTAGTGGCAGAAACACTTTGCCTTCGGGGTGCAGATGTGTCCCTGGTTCAGGTGGGTTCCTTCAGGGCAGCCACATCCCTCCACGGGGGCATCTTCCAGCCCACAGCGAGGGTCCGGGCCGGACAGGGAGCGACATGTGTGGTTACAGGCTCGTACGTCGAAGGAGAACTCTTGGTTTTTTTGGCACTTTAAGGCTGAGACACAACATTGACATTATTGCAAATTCCTTATGCAGCAATTACCACCTTTTTGTATGAGTAGTACAGTGATTGGATGCATAAAAAGGAAGTTAAATCTCTATTGAAGTTCATGCATTAACTTCTAAACTCACTGCAGTTGGTAGATTTCCTCCAGTCGCCAAGTTCCACCCCGAGACGGCTGCAGGCTTTGGCGTAGCTTCCCAGAGAAACACACAAGCACTGCTGCAGGTTGCCGCCACAGTTGCAGGTTCTTTGGACGCAAGCCTGGAAATGACAATTAGTTTAGACTTAACAGCAAAAATGAGTGAACTCTGACAGTCTTATTAAGGATTTGGTTGGCGTGAGAAGGTATCCTTACCGTGCTGTATTGATCAGGTGGGATATGATCGTGGCACTTTGCAAAAATCCCAGTTGGGTTGGTCAACACACTGCACCTTTCATCAGCAAATATTTCTGTAAAAAATACCAAATAAAATACAACAATTACATATATTTGGAAAACCATTGGGGTAAAGCACAGAGATGCAAGCTACTAAGCAAACATCAGTGTTTTATTATCAAAATGTCAGATTATATTACATATTATAGTAACTGCTCAAGACTTATAGCCATATAATGGGTTTCTCCAGCCTACTTAGTGAGGTCCAAAAATAAAAAACAAGACCATTGTGATTGTTTTTCTTACTTATATTTGGTTAATCACTTTCAAATTCCCAATTTCACTTCTACTTGCATTAGTCTCTCAAGCTATACCTTTAGTTTTTGTGGTACAACTCGTCATACCTGCTCAATCAGTTATGAAAATTCAATGGCAATAGCATTTTTTCCATTTTTTCCATCAGGTACTTCATATTTATAAGTGTTCTACATGATTGTTTTGTATTACTGTGACACACAGCTACATGTTTATCCGAATATATCACTAGTCGATGTCTGCATTATCAATTTTTCTGTCAGTTTGAGCTCCGAGATTGTAGTTTTCATGCTTCCATTTTTTTAAATATATGCTTCAACTTGCCTACAATGTGAGACCATTTGATCTACTTGTCCAATTCTGAATCAATAACATGATGAGAAAAAACAGTGACAATTTCGGCCTTTTTTCTTTGATGGTTCCTGAGATCTTGTCGTTCAAAAATAGCCTCATGGACAGTTTTTAATTGACCTCAGAAGCTTCTTGATGTATCATTCCAAAAAGTTTCAAGCAAATCAGAGCTGGTCGAGCAGAAAGCCACTGATGATATAAGATGGAATGACCCATATATTCTCAATGTCGTCTCTATTTATTTAGATAAGGATTCAAGGCCTTTATTGGTCACAGACACAGTTATACATGGCATAACGTGCAGTGAAATGCTTTGATAAGTTCCCATCCCTGATGCACAACAATCAAGCAGCAGCCTTTTTTACAGGCACGTTTTCATCTCGGTACCATTGTCAGTGTTGATGCAGTTGTCGAGGATGTTCACTACACAGCCACTCAGACTCCAGGACAGAGCGAAAGGCTGAGCCGAGTTCTCGACGATCCCGCTGCTGGTGGTGAAGTCGTCCGTCGTGTCATCGTTGTTGTTGCCACAAAGACCTGAAAGATGTAATTACAAAGCCGACTGCATCACGCAAAAGCAGATACAGAAAGCATTTTTGGATATTTTCTGGGTCCCAGAGGAAGCCCCTTGTGGTGTTTATATCTCTGTAGACTCACCTGACATCGTGCCAGTGTAGTTTCTAGGTGGTGTGATGTAAAGCTGGATTTCAGGAGACACCTGGACCTGGATCTTCATGCCAAAGGACGTGTGGACTTCAACGTACATGGAGGACTGCCAGAAAACCAGGGCATGATCTGACCGGTGACACAGATTTTTCAGTAACCAAACCATTCTGGATGTGTTACAAAGCTAGCAGACCGATTTTCTTCTTCTTACCAGACTGATGGAGCTCAGTAATCTCCTCGTCTCCAAGTTTGACCATGTTGTGGGTGAATGTGTAGGTTTCCTGGAAGTTCCAAAGGACAATAATTAATGCTCCGCTTGCTCAATATCAGTTTGTCTTGATGGATTACATGTGTCTTTACTGTTTGTAAAGCGGTGTGTGTACCTGATAAAGCTGCAGAATAACAGCTTTCAGAGATGTTTCCTTTTCAAAAAACTCAATTTTTATTGTCCAGCCGAGGCACTGCACATCGTCATAAAAATTACTGCCGTTAGTAACAAAACAAGCAACATTGTTGGACAGTACACTATGAAAAAAAAACCTAGTTTTTTGCTATAATTTTCTGAACAATTTACTGTTATTTTACAGAGTTCGCCTGTTTTGTGAAGTTACAGATAATAAATCAGATTTAAAAAAAGAGTTAATTTACATGTTAACGTGTACACGTGTTACATGTTAATGTAAAAAAAAAATGTTCACAACAAAATATTTGTATTTCTATAAGTTAATTCAGACTTGATCAAATACTCACAACATTTAACTGTATTTAAATCAGCAATAAATAATTTCATTTTTCAGATATTTGCTGTGATTTGAATGAAAAATTAAGCATATTAAGGAATAAAAACAAATAAAATAAAATATTTTATCGATTATTTTTACAGATTTGTTTGTTAAATTACAGATAATATCAAAAAAAAATCACAGAAACATATTTATTTTTTTAATATGCTGACTGTAAATAACGTCCACATCAAAAATCTGCATTTTTAAAAATGATGACTCATTCTTTTACAATGTATGACTGTAAAATTACACTGTTCTGTTGTATTTAAATCAGAAAATATATAACACATATAATGCTTTTACAGATATTTGACGATATTTTCACCGTTTTTACAGTTTTCTAACGTTACAGTCTTCCCTCTTTTTTATAGTTTTGTTTTTTTACCGTGTGGGATTGTGGGAAACGCTTACCTGCGAGGCCATGTATGCACATCTACCAGGAACTGCATATTGTTTACCATCAAACGTCGTCACAAACTGTCCTTCAATGAGGCATCTGGGTGGACAGAAGTTTTCAGAGCAACGCCACCTTCCGCCGTCACACAAACTGAGGACGGAAATGAGCATGAAGTACGAATTAAAAGCTTCTAAAGGGCAATAAATGGCAATATTTAATCCTAACTTTCTTTTTACTGACTTACCAGGACTGACATTTGGTGCTTCGTACGTCTCCGGTTGAGTAGCTCCGGCCAGCGAACACACAGGGGCAGCTGGACACGCTCACACAGCGGAAACCATCCTCGTGATCATTCAGCACCTCACCTGCAATGTAAACCCTCTGTGATTAGGTCATGTAAGGTAGAGTTAAATCATACAGTTAATCAGCGCTCACCCTTTGGGCAGACACAGGAGCTGGTGACGTCCAGGTTGGAGAATCTGGGGTTGGGGCTGGAGCAGCTGGGAACGAAGGCATCACCTTGTTCTACGTAAACCAGGTCTCCAGGACAAGTTGGTGGAGCTACATTCACCCACAAAGACAGAAAATCAACCGATGGCGACTGAGGGCAAACCCCCTCAACAATAATAACAATAAAAGATGACCAACCACATTTAGTGACGAATCTCCATATGTTCCAGGCGTAGCTGTCGTCTCCACACTGCAGGACGATTTCCTTGAAGAAAGCGCAGGCGATGTCTTTGTTTTGTTCGTAGCTGTAAATGTTCTCCTCGCACAGCTGCATGTAATGAGGCGTTTTGGCTTGGAGACAGTCCAGAGTGTAGGAGAAGAACTCTCTGCATGCCTGAAAACGACATCAGAGGAAGCACATGAGCAAAGGATGTGGCCTGTTTACTGACATTTTATGCTTGAATTGTCCAACCGCCAAAAAGAATAAATTGAGAAAAGATGTTGAAATATGGCGTTTTTGGATCATTCATTTAAAATGTACACAATATCATCCACATCAGGATAAACTACAGTAAAGAAATGTAGAGTAGTTTGGCCAAAAGGTGACGAAAGGTGGTAGGCAGGTAGACTTAACACAAACAAATAATTTCCAAGGAAAAACAATATCAAAATCAACCTACATATACTCAAAATAATCGTGCATTTTGGCAGCACAGCCTCTCTACTCTTTATATATGGTGCTCAATTAGGCCCTCATCACTTCAGCCCTACCATCCAACAGCAGGGGGACCTAATCTATAACCTCTATGCAAACAAAGCTGCAAACAGCATCCCTGTACGCACTACAAACTCCTCTGCATTTCTAAATGGCTCCCTCAGAGCTAAACATGTGAAGTCACTCCTGAATGTTGTCTTTTAATGCCAAAGAAATGTTCATCAAAAAAGAAAAAAAAACCTCCACTTGGTGTGGCCCAGTGATGTCACTCTGAGTCCACCAATCACATAAAACCAGGAAGTGCCCCTCCCAAACACTAGTCCTGCTTGATGGGTCAGAACAAGGGAGCAAAGAAAGGTTAGTTTGAGCACAAAGGAACAAACAATTAAACCACTTTTGATCTGTAAGTTAATATGCATGACTGAAGCTAATTGTGTTTTGCTTTAAGTTAATATTAATACAAAAAAATAATATAATAATAGATAATATGTGCTGCAATGTTACACGAGCATAAAAGAAAATACACATAAAGAAAGCAGTATTGTGAAGCTTGAAGGGACACTTGGTGATGAATAATTAGAGTTCTCAACCAATTTGTCGCAAGAAACCATGTTGTCGTTACATTTTCTTTCATTGTGCTTTAAGCTCGTTGCAACTTACTGGATTAACAGCAAAGACTGGATCTCGGATTTGACACGTGTCCTCACTGAGCACGCTCTCTGAGATCAGCTGCTGCTTGTCGCCTAATTTCAGGGGAAAAAAGGTACAACTTTAGAGCAAAATTTATTTAAAGAAATGTTTTCCAAAAACAAAAATTGCATGAAGTCTGACTCCTGAAATGTGACTTTGGATTAAGTTTTTCCCTTTTATTTAAATCTATCATCACATGCAGCTGCATATAAGCTTAAAATTTCAGCTATAATGTCCAATTGGTGCTCAGTTATGACCAATAAAATCATGATTTGTACAACTTGTGTAATCATCAGCACCATTACTGTTATGTACAGTCGTCCTTAAATGTATTCATACCCTTCCATAAAAGAAAAGGCAAAATTCACAATAGTCACTCAAATAACTAGAAACTGAAAAAAGTAATAATAAATAAAAATTTACTAAATTAAAATTTAGTGAAATAAGACATTGCTTTTGAATTGTGGTTGAAAAAAAAATTTAAAAAAGAAAAAAAAAAAAACAACTGTCCTGGATAAATATGAGCACTAATCAATCCAAACACCTGCCAACAGGTGCAGAAATCTGATTGAGAGTTACAGAAAACACCTGATTGCAGTGATTGAAGGGTTGTTCAACAAAACATTAGTTTGCAGGTCACATCATGCTTGTTTTTATATATATATATATATATTTCTGTTAACCCACAATTCAAAAACAATGTCTTGTTTTTTTATTACATTTTTATTTATCATTACTTTTGTCAATTTCAACTTATTTCAGCTGTTTTTTTTCCTTCTTTAATGGGAGGGTATGAATAAATATGAGGACGACTGTACATATTATCATAGTGGCTGATTCTGATTGTCACCTGAGACGCCATGTTTTCCACACAGTCCCGTCATGTCAGTGTCCAGCTCCTGCTCCACCTCCACCTGAACAGCAAATCAAACAGTAGCCTCAGGAGTTGCCATCTATTGCACTTGTGTGTCTGCAGCGTGTGCGTGTCCTCTCACCCACAGAGCGTCGATCCCTCCGGGTACATCGTGCCAGGTGACGGACAGCGGAAGCAACGAGCTCTTCAGTCGAGTGTAGAGGCCGAACTGAAAGATGTGCTGGTAGGTGTGGTCGTACGGGAGGGAAACGCTGTCAACCAACACACACAGAGGGGAATCAGCGCAGCGACGGATCCTCACTTCCTCAACTTTGATAAAAAATTAAGAGATGATAATGCCGGTAAAATATTACACGACAATAACAGGCTGCAAGTCACCTTGCAGAGTGGGACAACCCCCAGCAGGAGGATGTTTTCATTTGAAGCTAATAATCAACT